AATATAAATTAGGTATATTCGATAATCATAGTCAAATACACCAATTAAAAAACAGTTTCTGTAGAAAAATGACTAGAAAAACGAACAAAAATCATACAAAATTTTAAGGATTTTTCAGTTTTTTTGCGATTTTTTTTTAGAATTTTCGAAGTTTTTAATTAAAAAAATGGCACTAAAAAATTTCAAAACCAATACTTGAGTAAAGCTCAGTTATCATATCTCAAATCAAGCCTAAATAAAATATTGTAAGCCAGCAAACTTTTTTTGACAAAACTTATCAGCTCAAAACTAGAACAAAAATCAAAAATCACAAACTGGTTTTTCTAGACACTGAGAAAATGTTTTTAAAAATTGTAATATGATGTATAATTCGACACATTCCAACGTTTATTTATGGTATCTCATTTTGCATAAAAATCGAAACGAAAAAAAACTAAAACACACCCAAATGTAAAGTTCCTCGCCAAATGATCAGAATAATGAGAAAAATTTCTGCCGCGACATCAGAACAAGTCTAAAAATATAAAACTTGATCTGTATCTTTTTCGCTCAGTTTTTTGAGTTCAAGTGTTTTCTGTTAGATTAACCATGCAACAAAAGAGCATTAATTAATAACTAACTCTAATCGATTCCCTCTGAAACCTTTCTATCTAATTTATTCTTGAAAAATCGATTTTTTTCTACCCTAAATAACTGCCAGTTGGATTATCATACGATGTTACGTTTTATTTTACCTGATTTCTTAAAACTAGTCAAAAACCAACGGGCTTGACTAAATTCGCCGTGAATTGTTTTATCAGCTGGATCATATCAAATATACGTTTTATTGCAAGAAAAATATAGCAGGTTATTTTTCTAAAATTAGACAAATTGAATTGTTTCAAACCAAATAACTTTTAAAAAAATCTTTAAGTGGAATCTTGTTCAAAGTTTGAACTGATGATAATTATTTTTTGTAGTTGTTTTAAAAAATTTTGTTCAAAATTGCTAGTTAAAGAAAAGAAAATAGTCTACAGAACAAAAACCTCAGCAAGCGCAAATTTTTTGCCACTTTCTTCAAAATTTGTAGCAACAAATTGAGTGACAAAGCAATTAATTCTTTGAAAGTTCAATTTTTTTAAAGCATAAAACAAAACAATAATTAAACTGGTTTTATCTTATATCGCAAATAATAGACACAGAGGCAAAGTGAAGCTTCAAATCACTTGCAGTATCACAAAAATAACATTGCAGGCTAGCAGACAGGAAAAGAAAGAAAGCAACTAAGTTCAAAGAAAAACTTTTGAGGAAAACCACAACTACGAAAAGTTCACAATTTTGTCCGGAATGATGTTCTGTTTCCGTAAAACACGTCGAGACCACATTTGAAGGCCTTTAAGGAAAATTCAAAAACAATTTTGTGCAAACAAAAATGTCATGAATAAATTTGAACTATTAATTCTATTTAGAGATTTTAAAAAAAAGTTTTTTGCAATTCGTAGGAAAACGTACTAATTATGGTTTCCTCAAATGACCCAAACTTAGCTTATTAAGCCGATAAAGTGTAAACCGAACTCATTCTTTACCTCCAGACTAAGTCTGCCGAAGACACTTGATCTTCTCAATTCATTGTGAAGCAAGATACCAACTGATTCACGTGATTCTGTAGACAAATTAATAAAAAAACAAAATCTGTAATCCAATCTGATAACGCTTGCTTATCGCAAGCGGGAAAACAAACCCTGGATCATTAGTTTGATGTCATGCAAACAAAATGTCTCTGGCTCAAAAAATTTCAAAATCTTTCAAGAAAAACACTTTTTAAAATTAATTTGAGATCTGCTAGCGAACACATCTGATTATGCGCATAAAGTTTAAACAATAATAAGGTAATGTATGGCGTCACGCGTGGAATAATATACTCTCGAAATAAATTCACCCACTCGGAAAGACACCAAAAACCATTTTGCTGATATATTTAATTTAGAAATCCAAAGCAGCAAAGCAAAAAAAATTAATTATACAAACGTCATCCAAAATGTTACAACTAAATTGAACTAAATGCTGACAAACTTTTTGTTCTAAACCTTCCCGCTCTCCAACATTACAAAAAATCCATCCTTGTGAATTGTTCCAACCTTTTCTAGAAAAAAAGTAGACAGCAGACAGTTGCAAAGCAGAAAAAAAACAACATTTTTATTGAAAACAACTTTTTTTGAACAAATCTCAAGTTTCTAAATTCCTAGATAAAAACAGGGTTTCGTAGTAAATTATCCCTCAGCTTTTCATCCCATGCGAAGGTATCCTACTCAAAAATAATCCAGTAGTTAGAAAAGCGCAGGACGAAGTAGTCCACGCATTTTAACATATACCACCTGGGGAATCCAAACGATTCAAATATCTCTAGTTTATTCAAAGAATATAAACTAAGATACCGCAATTGAACAACTTGATCAAAGCAATGCTAACTTCTGAAATCATATTCAAATGAAAGCGGGAAACTTTCAACGCCTGTTTCAAAACAATTGATCTTTCGAAATCTTACAGAAAAAAGCTGTGACTTACTGAGCTCTCGCGTCATTGTGGTTTAAAAATACGATTGATCAAATGATTCAGTTCGAAATTAGGAAAAATGTCCCCTAAGCTTCAAAAATCTTCTGTATGGGGGAGTGAAGGGGGCGTGGTCTGTGCGAAAAATATAAAACATTTTTGTATTAGCCTATATCACTCTTCAAAAAACGGTGCCTTTACGATTGTTATCAAGGCAAAAACTTTATGTTTTTTTGAACATTACTTAAAAATGCACCAGAAAGACATTTTAGGAAACACGTGCCGACATTTGCTAAATTGAAATCTAGAAGCATGTCGAATGATCCAGAGTTTGACTATAATTTACTATATCTGAGTTTTTGAATGAGTTAGTCAGCATCCTCACTTTTTCATTAAGTTGCGGGGGCTTTTTACCGATTTGATTAGTGCCGCTGCTTGCTTTTAGTATATAAAACTTCTGGATGAAAAAGTAAAGCTGATTTTTTTTCCGTGAAACGTATGAAACGAGGGGTGGCCGCCCTGGAAAAGCGAAGTAGCGCAGTTAAGGCAGCCTTTAACTGCATTGGTTGTTCAAATGAGACCTGCCGCAGCGTTGTCGTACTGATTCCATAAAAGTGGGAGGAATAAAAGATCACGTTGTTAACGACCAAATGTTTCACTTTTATTTAAGCTCTTTAAATTTCTATAACAAATTCTCATTGATATCTTTTTTAAATCTATTTGTTAAATCATGGAGCCAATAGCTCATCCGATCCTAAGTATATTCTGGCTTTCAAAAAATTACACAAGTTCAAAACTTTATTCGAGTAAATAATTTAAAGAATTTTTAGTAATCACTCATTTTTATTTTTCTAATCGTATCTCATTCATAGCGTTGTACGGTCACTGCAAAGCGACTGATGACCTTTTTTTCGCATTTTATTCTCTAGTTTTTCAAATCAAAGTCATCAGCTGCAGATAAGTAGCTAAAAATGAATCACAGAGTCATGAAGTTAACTGCTGAAATGGTACACTGAAGAAACAAAGACTCTGTGAAACTCAACATCTGAGCAAAATGGGTTCGATTATCTCCAATAAAATTATGGTTTAATTCGATTCATAGTTAAAGTGCAGCAAAGAAAACAAATTACCGATGAGAGAAGAGAGAGTTATTAGTGAATGAACAGACAAAGGCCTTCGCAGAAGGTGTGATATGTTACATGTTCATAATTACTACTATCAACAACATTTCCATCATCAATAAACCACACTATAGTACTGTACTGTCTCGACTTCTTATTCAAATACAATATAATAAACTAAAGCGAGCAAATGTCAACAACTTATTATAATTGAATACAAAGGGTTCTATTGAAAAAAACTCCATATCGAGGAAAAACAACAAATTAACACTTGAAAAATGAATGGTTTCATAAGTTGATTGTCAATTTTTACTCCAGATGTTTACTGGAAATCGAGCTATTTTTTTCGTACTTTTGAATCATTAAAAAATCGGGAGTTTATAGTTGACTACAGAACCCAATTTATTCATTTGTTGTTAGAAGTTCTGTCCCGAGATGTAACAACTCACGGAAGATTTAGTAGGATTTCTAGATTATACTAATGCATCAAAAATGAATGAATTAAAACAATTGTGAATATATTATGTACAATAGATTAAAATGAAACCAGAATATCGAATAGATTAAGACATAGTAAGCTATTAGTGGATAAAGCTATGGAGAAGAAAAGCTATGATTACAAAAAGCTTCAAACAGTGTTCACTACAATAGAATAGAATTGAATAGAAACAACTACACAATGTGATAAGTGATTACAAAAATAATTCTGCCAACGAACGAATAATTAAAACCCTGTGGAGCACCAAAGCGAGCCTTGCAGAACACCAAACTCAAAATCTGTGCAGAACACCATTAAAAAAATTCTATGGGAGGTAACTCAAGGCTCGACTAAGGCGAAGATACGAACGCTCAGATTCAGATGAATGACCCTACATTTTCTGCACCCTGTTTGTATAGCAGTGACTGAGTTACAATTGAAGTCATCCAGATTTATCCCGTTTTGGGCGGAGATAAATTTAATAGCAAAACTAATGCATCTGCGTGATTTTTTAAACTAACGAAAATAACCCTGTATAGAATACCTTACATTTGTTACAAAGGAAATATTCAATTTAGAAAACAAAGCTATTTTGAATTTCGGAGAATTAGAAACGAATCAATTCACATCACAGATCGAGAGGACATTTCTGACATTTGAACGAATTGAGAATTTGGTACGAATAAAGCTTTGAGAAAAGTTCGAAGGTTTCGTGAAAGTGGTTAAATTTAAAGTCACGAGGGGAACATTAATTAAACTCTGTTATAAAGCTATTAGAGTAAGGTCCAGGAAGAAGTTTTGGTCAACATTTGGTTGGAAACACTCATCCAAAGATGGGCATCGAAATACGAAAGGAAACAAAGCAGAAATAAAGTAGTCGCTCTTCTAGCACTTCGGGCGGCGATAAATTAATTCCAAATAGAAAGCATTTCGAAACTAACTTCAAATTAGAGCTATTACACAACTCGCATTCAAAGTTATTATAAGCTATAGGTTAAAACTATCAATCAATAAAGCCATCGTTTTGATACAGTTTAGTTTTTTTGAAGCTTTTCAAATTAAAGATTTAGTTTATTTGCATGGGCGTACAGCCGTTAAAGGGCGAGGAAGCGTCCATTTTGTTCTCGTGTATTAGACACTCCAAATCTGCGAGTTGCGATTTGATGAGACTTTCGCTATTGAGAAGAGAGAAATTGTCATTTGCACTTTGTAAAGCACCTCTGCCACTCCTGAAAACAACAACAATACAGAAACAACAACAACAATACAGTTAGTTCACAAATTAATGAAAAATGCTCCAGTGCTGGTTAAATGAAATTCTGATCTCTACGATTATTTTTTTTCTATTTGAGATTCTTTACTAGGTGCAATATAGCACAAAAAAGTATCAAAAAGTACACAGCAAAGCTCTTGTATGTCATGACTATCTTTGTATTTCTCTTTCAAAAGATGGATGGAAGTTTTTTAAGACAGTATTTCATTAAGTTTTTGTTATAATGAAATGTGCAGTACTTGATACTAAAATTAGTCGAATCCAATATGCCTACCTATCATTAATTATATCATTGCATTGCATCCCATCTAGAGAGTTGAATTGGCTCATCTCGTTAGCCGAAGTCAGACAAAGTGGGGGCGAGTTGTTGTTGTTCAAGTTACTTGACCTATGATGCCCTTTGGAGGGCGATGGTACCGGGTGCATGTTATCATTAGGAGATACCAGTTCCCCGCTTCCATCTTGATTTATATCTGAGGAACCCTGGCTGAAGTTGTTGTTGTTGTTGGTTCCAGTTGGCGAGCTCAGAGGAGACTTGAAAGGGAAGGAAGTCTTGCGTGGTTTGCTGTGAGTCTTGATGTGTTTCGAGAGGTGGTCACTGCGCATGAAGCGACGATCACACAGCTGACATACAAACTTCTTTTCACCTAAACAAAAACATTTAATTTTTATATGACTGGAAAGCGAAACTGTTCGGAATCATAGTCAGGATTTCCGTTAGCGTAGTTATTCTAACTGAACAATTTCATCGTGTTGGGCAGGCTTTCACTTCTTAATTATATTGAGTGATTCGGCCGAGTTCTCATTGGAATCCAGAACCTGTAAGATTTGACCAAACAAAAAAAACTTTATACTTAAGAATGGTCTAATGTATATAATTAGTCCCACATTGTTAGCGATATATTTGACCTTGACCTAAGTTTGATACACTTGCTCTCTCTTTACGAGTTCAAATGTGTTAAAAAAGGACGCCGACATCAAAAGGAGCAATTGTAAGTTAATTAGCATGGTTCAGATTCTTCAATAATTCAAAATTGGCTTTTGCCAATAAGTTAGCATCAACTCAATTTTCACCAACCAGTGTGTATGCGCTGATGTCTCTGCAGCTCGTCTGAGCGAGTGAAGCGCTTGCCACAGAAACTCCACATACACTCGAATGGCTTCTCTCCAATGTGCCATCTGAGATGAGCCCTCAAGTGACTCGTCTTCCCATAGGTCTTCCCACAGCCGGGGATGTGACAGATGTGTGACTTTTTCTTCCCATCCATGTTCCTAGACAGACACAATAACACTTCGCCCTTCTATTATTCTGAATATGATATATCTCATGTATTAAAAACATGGATCCGCCGTTTCCATGTTCTTACACACACCAAACACTGAATAACTGCACTTATACTTGGCCAATTTAACTTTAAGATTTATCTATTGCACGTTTCTCAAAATGCTGCAAATACTCGGCAGTACTACATTCATTGACGGGACCCCCACAAAACAAATTCTAAGCCCCACCCAAACATAAACCCCACCCAACGGAAAACATTCGTAGTCTGCGTTATATTACTTAAATTTCCAGCCAAATTTAATGCTCCAAAAACTGTGCCCCGTCTTTCGCATGATACTAAAAAGAAATAATCCGAATTTGCACGACCTCCTTGACTTTGATAATTTTGAATACCTTCCCCGCAAATTTTTTAAAAACCAATAACTGCTCAAACCCCGCAGTAATTTTCGACACCGCGTATTAAAAACAGTACGGAGTCTTTAATTACAGCAGAAAAAAGCCTTCTGGGTGAAACTAAAGAGCTTTTTATTTCAAGTAGCGTAACTTAACACTTACTTTTCGCCGTCTATGCAATTTGGGCAACTGCACGCAACTCTTCTCACTTTTCTAGACGCAACTTTCGGCTGAAACAAAAACACAGGTTATAAAATCAGTTGTCCAGGGACCTCAACTGAGCATTATTTCCATTCTCGTTTATCAAAAACAGTTTGATTAATACAAAATTATACGAAAAAACAAACACTCAATATTATTTGAAAAATAGGACTGATCTTTACCAACAACTCAGCAATCTTATTGTTTTGCACCACTTGAAAGTTTCGGATTGTCCCAAATCACATGAAAATTCCGCGTACGATTAGAACATTAACTTACCATGTGAAATGACACTGGACCACTGAGATGAGGTGTCGGCGCCGGAGTGTTGCTAGTGTCAATGGCCAAAGCCGAGCGAACGTGGGAGTGCACTAGTGCTCCTGGTGATCCAGCTGACATTCCAGCTCCTCGACCATGATGCATTCCTGGAGTCACACTTCCTCTCGCACTGACCATGGACGCAGGACACTCGCTAATGACTAGAGGTCCGGTGCCTGGCGATGGGAACCCGTTGGATCCATGATGCGGATGCATCTGGTGCTGTTGTGGAACCCCTTGGATTCCAGCTTGGCTCCCAGCGTGAGGGTGATTGCTGGCCATCAAGTGCATACCTCCCCCTTGTGGACTTGTATGGTGTTGCTGTTGCTGCATCCATTTTTGCATGTTGTCTAAACAAAATCTTCAGAATTCTTTCATGCACTTAACCCGTTCTCCGAAACTTGAGAATGACCACCTTTTTCAGGCTAAAAAATCTCTTTTGTTAGGACCACATCACAGAGAGGGAGAAACTGCGCTCTCGTGTACAATTTTTTAAAGCAATTTCAGGTCTTTCGAAGAAGATTCGCAGATATCGAGGGTGGTATCAAGCTAAACCACTTAATTCGTGATTCTAACTTTAAATATTTCGTGACTCAAATTCGGAATATTTCGGACTCTGGTGGTGGTCTTACATGGCCGTTTATCACAGGTCGAGAAGAAAACGTTTTAATCTCACTCCTTTGTTTTTGAAAGGACTAATACCATAGCTTAATCAGTTTTTCACAAGAATCTGCTCAAGAAACCCCAGAGATTTTTGAAAAATAAAAAGTTAAGCGTCCATTTTTGCTTTTGCTTCTTCAAGTTTAAGCTTGAACTTAAAAATCTCGGTCTTTTTTCCTTCTATAAACCCTTCTCACATCAATTTCCCAACTTAAGGCGCAGATGGAAACCACTTCAGGGATAAACATTTATCAGTACAGGATTTAACCTCTTTATTTAGAGGTATAAAGGAGAAACTCGAAAGAGGTAAGTGAAGTTAAACCTAGTTTCCATTTTCCATACATCATCATGTCCTTATTAACCCACTTTTATTTATTCACACTCTAAAGCTGAACCACATCAATTACCCAAATGTTGCTGCTGTTGTCCATTGTTCATAATACTGCTCGGCCTCCTTTGACATCCGGGAGGTGTCTGATTCAGATTGCTCGGACACACTGATCCCACTTGCCCCATATTGGGCGATGTTGCATTGTTGTTCGCCCCAATCACAGAGCCCCCCATTGATCCCTGAGGTGTTAAAGACCCTCCTGTAGTATTGTTGTTTGACCCTGTTGCGAACGGTGATGTCACCGCGATTGAGTTGTTATGTTGCTGACTTGACATCAAAGAACTTAGATTGGAGTTGGTAGAGCAAGCCGTATTTGGGTTAGTATTGGTCCCGTTTTGCATGTAAGATGCCGCCGCTACCGGCGATCTAGCGGCTGCATGTTGTTGTTGCGCCTGTGCCAGCGCATTGGAAGCATTATTGCCTCCATTACTGTTATTCGGCGGAGACACATGCATGTCTAGAATTCCCTGCTGAAACAAAAGAATCATCTCATTTAAACAAAAAGCGTGCGTGATTTTATGAATAGAATTGTCTGCTAAATTGAGGAAACTTGATATTTAAGTGAACCTTTTATGATAGGCAGATGTTAAAAGCGAAGAGACCCTGAAATATTAGTCTAAACGTCATTCTTCTTTTTGATAAATTTAAACAACAAAAATAACTAATACTAAGACTGCTCGTATCATGGCTAAGCACTAAGTTTTCTGACTGCCCTCCAGCTAAACTCAATTAGTTTTTTGAGAACTTCGCTATTTTTGAAACCAACACAAACTTAGAAAAAATAATCTGTGTTGAATTATATTTTCACTCCGGCATCAAAATATTCCAGACAGTATAAAAAAGGACAGCCGTTTTGTGTGCAACAATGTCGCGACCACAGTAATTAAGTGATGCAATAAAGGAAAAAATTGAATAGGAAGTTTGAAGTTTTTTTCCTAGGGAGAGGGTTGGGGATCATTAGATAGTAACCTGGAGAATAGTGTGATTTAATCCCAAAAAACGTGATACTTGCAGGAGAACTATGGTTCCAGCTAAAGCTGGAGGTGCCTGTCTGATAATTTTTGAAAATGTTATACTCATGCTGCATTAAATGGAAAATTTAAAAACTTCAAAAATTGAGGTATTGAAATCTTCCCGAAAATCTAAATTTTTTTCTTCCAAAAATTAAAGGTTTGCCACTTCTGCAGAAAAATATTTCACAACCGATTCTTTCGATTTGATAGGGCAGTTTCTAAGAAAAGTTTCTGAAAAACAGTCGCAAGTTAAAACACCTGCCTTTCCGAATAACATAAATTTTTTCTGCAAAAAGAAAGCTGTGGCCGCTTATGCAGAGAAAACTCCCAAAATCTGATATATCGATTGAACACTTAACCAAAATCAAAAATTTGAACCCAAAAACAGATTTATGAGGGCAGTTTTCTCAAAAGTCAAATAATTTTTTTTTAAAATGGTAAAAAAAAACAATAAGTTGAATTTTCTGAGGGTCATGAATTCTGTGTAAAAAATTGGGCCTATTCGATTATACAGGAAAGCGTCCCACAACCCGTTATTTTGATTGAACCCAAAATCTCAGATTTTGTAGGGCAGTTTTTTACGAAAAAGAAAAAATCCGAAAATATGGGACCAAATATTACCCCCACAAACTTTTTCGAACAGTTTACAGTGCTATAAAAATGAAAAGACTAAGAGATTATGTAGGCCACAGCAGAGTAGACGGTTCTTCCATTTTTGGAAAATCGTTCAAGAAGTTCTCGAGAAAAACTAAACTTTTGACAAAGTGAAAATTTTTACAAGCGTCTCAAAATGAAAAAAAAAAACCTAATACCAGACAATTTCATAATATCTGTTTTTATCAAACAGAAATTCTAGGCAAGCAAGCAGAGCAAGACATTTGAAACTTGATCGCTACACACTAATGAATGGAAAAAGGAGTCAAAAAAAATTTCGGAAAAATTAAGTCGAAAAACTTAATTGGAAAAATAACTTGAAAAGTTGACAAAAAAAACAGCTTCATGGTTGTATAGGTTGAAGTTCGAAAGCAGCCTTCAAAGAACTGGAAATCATTTAATGAGCGGCAAAAAATTTTCGGTCGAAACCTGTTGAGCGGAAAACAAAACTGTTGTCATAGAAAACTTCATAAATTTTGGAAGTTTTGACGAACCATCCATTCTGAAACACGTAATCGCATGCAATATATTGGCCCACCAGATTACGCATTATAAGTTGACTAGGCTGATATATCATAAACTGAAACTGTTCAAACATTTTTCGGTTATACAGTTATAGTAAAAAAACTTTCAGTCAATATAGAAAAAAACTGTTTAAATTGGAAAAAAAACGTGTTTAAGAAAGTAGACCAAAAAAACCATGCGATGAAAAAAGGCGTATAAAAAACGGAAAATGAACAAAAAGAAACTTGGACGATAACCACGAAACCGAAAAAAAAATTCGGGAAATACTAAAATGATGGTAGTTTTTTGAATTTTCGAGGAATAGAGCATGTCGGAAGTGATATTTATCATTCCTACTAGATTGACCATTCTGTGAACAAAGTTTACTAAAACTCAAAAAAAGCTTTGAATCCCACCTGCAACTATAATAACCAACACTTACAACTACCATGATACTAGCTTACAGCACAAGAAAATCCGCACAAGAAAATCCTTAACACACTAGACTAAGAAACAAACATTTCAAACCGGTTTTTCTCGCAACTGACAAGTTTATTTGGATATTTTGAAATCAAGTTCGAATCATAACTAAAACCAATCCTAACGATTATTTTGTGTCGTAATTTTAAAAAAATAGGACACACCCGAAGACAAAGTTCTTCGTCACTGTGTGGTACGAACAATGAGGATTTTTAAAATTAGCCCAATCATAAATGATCATCTCAATAAAACGCTAATTCATGGGCTTAAATCTTTTCAAATTAACATTTTTTACCCTTTCCGTGTTAGGTCTAAGCAATAACGGATACTAATTATTCTATAACTTAAACTGGATCAAAAACTGGAGTTCTAAGTTTATAACCAGCAAAAACCGACCTTTGATAAATTTGATGATCCTTTCATTTGCAAATTACTTTTTGTAAAAGCCTACAACATGAAACAAGAAAGTAGTCGCGTTTTAATGTCTGATTTGGTAAGTCAAACACGTGCTACAGAAATGAAAAACTAAAAATAAGGAGTTGTGAAAAAATACTAAAAAACTGGAAAAAGAAAAATGTCCCATCGGTTGAAGTATGTATTAGTATTATATCGGCAGCATTTGGATTTGACCAGTCTTGCTTTGTTTGTTTTTGGACACTTTCTCCTCAAAAAATTAATATTGGGAGTGCAACACAAATAGAGCACAGGCACTCCGCCAAATACTTCAAAGCGTACCAAAAAAGAGGCGGCATTCTCAAAAATTAAACAATATCAAAAATTATGGTATTTTTATTGCTCTAATTTTCCATTTAAAATGAAATGATTTGACGCGTCGGCCAAATGAAACCTTTCAGTGTTTTTAACACGCTGAACAAATCATCAAACGTTTTATTTTTCGGTAATTTTTTGAAAAATATCAACACCAAATTTCCTTTTTAAGTAGATTGGAAACAATAAGCATGAAAAAATTACTGCTCTTGCAATATATTGCGTCCAAATTCCCTAACAAAAGGTTTAATTTAAAACAGTTGCTCAACATTTTTAATCTCTTTCAGGAGCAATACGGTTGATTTAATTCATCAAGTTTGGAGAGTGCTTCAGAATTAAATTGATTTCCCCAATTTTTAAGAATTTCAGAGCAATTGTGAGTATTGAAAAATTGAATAGAGCGCAGTATACATAAGAACGAGTAGTTCAGAATGCAAAATGATCAATAATTGAAATTGCGCAGCGGAGCAAATAGAGAACAAAAAAGTAAACAAAAAAGGATAAATTGACGTTGAGGCGCTCTAACGCGGCTGTTTGCGTCCGAAGGTGGGGATTTTGAATTGGAGGAGAGGAAAAATTGATTCGGGCGAGGATTTTGCCCAATTTAATCTTGCCTGAAAACCTAGCAACCAAAATTAAACAGTAGCTGCAAATTTTCAAATCAAATCAATCAGCAAATTGAATGCGCGGACCTGGGGAAAACATGTGACGGTAAATAACGCACTCTATCAATTTTAAACTCAATTTCTACTTCAGAATCTTCATTTTTGCTGAGTTTTGAGTAATTATAGACTGAATACTATGAGAAAAAACTGGTTTCCTGCTTTGGATGACTTTTTTGTACCCGAGGACATCAAATCACTCGCTCGTTTTTTTTTGAGCTCCTGCAAATAATACTAAGGCAAAAAACTGCTTTTTGAAAAAGTTATTGTAATTTTCTTATACAAACTAGGATAATTTATTTATAAATTTGTAATAATAATTGGATCTTATCAAAGCTTAACTCGTGTGAGAAAATTACATCAAAAAAGGTTTCATGGTATCATTTATTTTCTGCCACTGGTTCCAACGAATAAATAGATGCGCATCTGGAGTATCTTTAAGTGCAGTTAAGCTGAGAGAGAGAAAAGGGAGGGCAAGGCGGGGAAATTTGGGCTGGGAGGGTGATAAAAATTATCGCGTAATATGAGAGCAGAGGGGTTCTATAGGAGATTGTGGGGAGGAATTTTATCACTCTTGTCATAAATAATCCCAAATAGAACGAGGCATATCTGCGATCCAATCGCTCGCTCAAAATTGGGCAATCAATGATCCAGTCAGCCATGAGTTTAACGAAAATGAGCAAAAAATGAACATCCCTAGTTTCGGGTCAATCATAGTTTTAAACTACAGAGCTGTATTTTTTTTTACCAAATAGCGGGCCAAAGAGGAGAAGGGTGGTTGAGTGGCGACACCCCTTTCTCTATTCCTCCGATTTGGGTGCCAAAATTTTCGGAAGGGTCACCTCGTTGGTACTATTTTACGACAGCCATTTTTGCCTCCGATCAACCCTTAAATTTGTCTCAAGGCACCAATACATCCCAAACAAAAGGGTCAAAACCTAGAGCTGCTTCGATAAACGTGCAAGTCACAGATGCTTACTTCATACGAACGGATCAATGATGCAAGCGGATTTAGGGGAGGGGGGACGGATGCCCACCCCCACCCCACCCTCAGGGATTTGACTTCAACTCACTGCCGACCCAAAGGGTCCCCACTTTGTACAATTTTGAGATCACGTACCCATTTTCGGCGGACGGACCCTAAAACTTTTATAAATATAATAATTTTGCAAAGGTAGCGCGCGCCGAAAAAACGCGATTTTTTGATCGAAACTTTCCAAAAAGTGCCCACAAACGCTTAAAACATAAAAAATTTACACTGAAGATTAAACATGGCGAGATACATAAAGCTTTCAAATATATAGTAGATTCCCCTTTTCAAACGTTTAATACCAATTTCGAAATCAAACACGTTATTGCAAACCTTGCACTTCCATTATCACAAAGCGCAAATTGCCTTCCATTTCTAAATGAAGAAAATCAACGAAGGTCAAACTGCCAAAAAATGAACTTTTAACAAACTTCGCACCATTTAGAATACAACACAAACATAGCATAGCAAGCAAGCAGACAGAAATGAAAAAAAGCCAATAGATGCAAAAAATTAAAGAGCTTCCAAAAAGCTACAACTACCAAAACATGTCCAAAAACACAATCATCATCGGCGGTAAAAAAAAGTTGTTAAAAATGTTTATCGAGCAGCAACTAAGCCAACAAAAGTTGGGTGAACTCACGCTGAGAACAAAACAAATTGTTGTTATGAAAACTTTTGAAAATACTAAAACCCTTTAAACCCAATCACCTCAGGAAACAACCGACAAAAAATTAGGTCACAAAGCCAACAAGACTGCTGGTATTAGGGCAAAGTCCTATATGTTCCGACTGTCTTTTAAGGCTCTGAAGCAGTGTTCGCTTTAAAGATGAATTTTTCGAAAAACAAAGAAAAAAATACAAAAACTTCGAGTTTTAATTTAAATCATCCCCCAACGTGCCATATTAAGTATAAAGTGATCGATTTCGCTCCTAGTAACCCAGAGATTATGACAAATAGCCTGTTTCGACCAAGTTGGAACGATTTCTATGAGGGATTAAATCTCCGCTTACGCATTATCGCGCGTCAGTTGTTCCAAATTGGCCATATTGGCAATCTTTAAACCCTCATAACTTTATGAAAAATGATCACAAGTGAAATATCTTTTCAAATTTGAGCACAAGAAAACAATACATTTGGGTTGATATAAAAAAAGTCCGTCAAAATTTCTTAGTTGAGAAGTCGAAATTTGTCTGAAGAAAAAAAAACCACCCCGAGCACAAATATTCCGTTACTTTCGTTAGGAAAGACGGAACAATAAAAGAGTAGACACAAGCCAAATCAACTTTCCCTAAACCTCATTTATTTATCATACGAGTATTTATTGAAAATTAACTTGAAAAACTTATTGTCAAGCAAGTGCTTGTTGTGCAAGTATCAGAGCATGTGCGACCCGTTCAGATTTAGCAAATTTACCAACGCGATGCATTTAAATGAAATAGGCTTTTTGGGGGCGGTGGACAGACATTAGCCTCTCAAAGAGACTAATAGCCGCTTCCTACTAAAAAATTTCAATTGCTTGACTGAAAATACCATGACTCAACAGATTTAATAGAAACATGAGTACCTCTCAGAATCCACACTTCGGTCAAAATAAACTTAACTTTTCGTCAATGGAACCTTCTTCACTGCAATTGGAATCAAGACTGCTAGAATTTTAATTTGATGAATTACTCAACCCCGTACGATGTTTATTTATGGGTTGTGATTCTTCCAAAACACACCCGAATGCAAATTTCTTCCTTAGTATGCGGATGAGTTCTCCGACAATAAAGAACAAATTTGCTCTTTCGAATTGAACAGCTCGTTGCCTCTGATTGTTTGTTCGAGTGGATCTTGTTAACTACCCCCCCCCCCCCCCCCATTTGCAATAAGGGAGGAGGGGATAGTTAACAAGGTACAAAACTCGCATATGCCTTACTGTTCAGTTCTTTATAGGGGGGACATTCGTTAGAAGGTACCATGGGGTGGTGGTGGTGGTGGTGGTGGTGGTGGGGGGGGGGGGTGGTAGTTAACAAGATCAGCATGATAAAACTAGCCCCACATTTTATCGCATTCAAGCTAAATTTTTCGTCAGCTTTGCAGTTTTATTGAAGTGCAAATCCACATTGCCTAAAAATCCTATATAATATATCCGATCTGCTAATCTTATGCAGGGCGGCGACAGAGGGTTGGGAACGGGGCGGATACATTAACACAGTATCCAGGCTGGTCGTTCCTTCATCCAGTTATTTTTTTCTATTCATATTCCCATCTCTACTTTCATTACTATGCATGACGCAGGATTATTTCACGCATTGTAATATCGGCAGCTTTTCAGTCTATGGGGAGTTGGAAGATAAAAGCAAAATCGGCGACAAGGCCGAAATATAATCAAGCATCAGCGATGCAGCAAGACAAGCTAGCCACACATGACAAAAGCACAATTAAAGGCAGAAAAAAGAAGAAAAAAAAACGGTTTTCTGACTCACAGAAAGAAAAACTGGAATTATTCTCAGAGCGATCCATGTATTTGCCAGGTACACTGGACACCGTTATGGATATATTTTCAATATAATATCGAATCAATGGAAAATACATTAAACAGAATGAGAGAGACGAAAATTAGTTAGCCGTATTCACCAACTTGTTTTTCATATCAAGCTTTGTACAATTTGAGATACAGACCTTGAATTGATATGAATTGAATTGAAGTAGAATATATGACAAAACAACGAATTTAGGGTATATTACAGAACTCTAAACGACAATCAACGGCCATTGTCCAACATAAAATAGGATTTCCCTGGTTCAATTCAGATATGAATTATAAATCAATATACGTATTGAGTTACTTTATGAAAACCCTTTCCTTGTTTGAATCTACGATTAAAGGAAAATTTAGGGTTTTAAAATGCAACGTGAAAAGAACATGACAGAGGTACTACGAGGGGGACAACTCCACCTCAGAAATTCGACCCCTTCACCGCCCAATGTGTGCCTTTTCCGGTACTATTTTTCATCAATTTTGCCGCCAAACCCTAAGCTTTTCATAATTTGCCAGCATTCGACACCAATATTTGCACGGCGCAGAGGTTATTGCAAAATGCAATTTATTTTGATATCTTCTTAACCTTAAAAAATGGCGTGGTGACTTTATCTGTTTTAGTAGACAGTATATTATGTTTCTTTAAATAATATTTTAGCTTATTGGGATAAAAATTTAGCGTAGCTTACAAAAACCAAAAACTTTTCTTCTGAAAATCAAAAAATTATTCTTTCGCAAGCCTTTCTGCGTGCTTTAATTATATCCTAAAAAATAAACTGATGATTTCTAACGGAAATTACATTTTGAGCCGCTAATTCGAGCTTATTTCTGCATCAAAAATTGTGAAGAGAATCTCTCCTCCAGCGCAGATGAAAAAAACGTGTTGCATTAAAATTAGCTCATGTTCAAATCAAACCTGAGAGCCATTGCGTCTGATAGCTTGTCTTTAAATCAAAAAATGAGAAAAAAGTTTAAAAATTGCAACCGGAAAAAGAGTGGAATTTAATGAGCCATAAAAGGAAAAATTGAGACCATAAATATGAATTAAACAGGAGCTTTTCAAAAAGAGGCTGCTATATAAAGTTGTCAGCGGTGAATTTATAACCAGAAGCAGATGGGCAAAACCTGGTCCGCCTCCCGGAGTCCTAAACAACCTCAGAACTCATTCTCAACACATTTGTGAAGGAAATAATCAACACTAACTTCAAATTCTACAAAGCAATCTCAACTTCCTGTCGCAAAAACTACACAAGTCCAAAACTCGGAAAACCTTTATACGAATTTATCCATAATCTTACTTTTTTTCGCCTCCGTATTTCTGTTCCGACCGCGTTCAGGGGTGGCAGGAAAATCCGACCAAGGGTGTTTTTTACAGGTATCACAACTGAATGTCAGATTGAGACAAGAGATATAACAAAACAAAGCAAATTCAATCGTGATTCTTGTTCAATAGAAAAAATTTGAAACATTTCTCTCTATGAAGGAAAAATGTAGAGAACATTTTGCGATTCAGAGTCAGAATTCGAATCTAAATAAGCTATGTATATTTCGTTTGTTTTTTTTTTGTTTTTCGAGATAATTGCGGTCGGTGCTTATGTCGAAACATTTTTCAAAAATACTGATTTCTATTGCTAAACAGCTGTTTAAAATCCCGCAAAGCAAACTTGCAACTTGTATTGAAAACAAAATGTCTGCTACTGAATATCACAAAAAAACCGATAGCATAGCACGAAAAAATTGTGTTAAACATCCAAGTTACCTGTCTAGGATTAGCAGGACAGGAGGAGACACTGCTTCCTCCAGGTGGCGACCTTAACAGTCCATTCTGCTGCTGATGCTGAACCACTCTCATGCCCCTATCCCAGGGGGGACTGCAACTATCACTAGCTCCCCCTGCATGACCCGACAGGTGCTGATTGCTTAGTGCAGTCGAGCCCACACCTGTACAGCCACTTGTCTGATCTAACACAGAATGATCTGTTCCCGCTGAAGCCGTTGCCGTGGACACAGCCGCCATCAAATTGGCCATAGGATTGAAATTAGACTGGTTTTGGGCCATACTATTTGGGCACGAACTGCTAGTCAGACCATTAGGAGTTGCGAAACAGCCAGCTGCCGCCGCTCTTAGGATCTGCTGTGTCATCAAATCATTGGCCACGTTATTTACACTACTGGGTGACATCTGCTGATGCTGTTGTAAGCTGTGTTGACTGTGAAGATTGGAGGAGATTTGGTTCTGAGGACATTCCAGGCTTCGAGAGTTGTGTTGGTTTTGCTGTGACTGAGACAAGGTTCCTCCTATCGTGTTGCTGCTCAGAGAAGCCAAGTGTTGATCCTGTTGTTGTTGAAGTAAAGCTTTCGAGGTTTTTACTGAGTTCGATTCAATCGATCGACTCATGAAGTTGACAAAGCTATCGTGGGCATTTTGCTGGGCACTAAAACAAGAAAGCTGGTTTTCACAAACATTTAAAAGTGGCAATATCCTACACTAAGAGGCGCGGGCAAATTCTTCAAAAATTGCATTTTTACGCACGTTTTCTCTAAAATTTGGATTTGGAGCAAAAAGTTTATGGCAAAGTTTATGGTTATTTTTGTCATTCCGACCATTGAAAATGGGGAGGAACTTTGTATTCGGGTGTGTTTTAGTTTTTTCTTTTTGTTTCCATGCTAAATCAGGTACCACAAACAACCATCGGACTGGATTAAGTGATATATCATATGGAAGCCCTTACAGTCGTGATTCGAACCACATTAAAAAAATTTTAAATTTTTTTCCCAGTGTCGAGGAAAAAAAAACAATTTTGAAATTTTTGGTTTTTCGTCATAATTCGAGAGAACAAAGCGAGCGAGCAGTCTTATTTTAAATTCTTTAATGCTTGCAATAGCCTAATTTTAAATGCAAAAACTTAGTTTTACTTGAGAAACGTTATTTTAATTTGAGAGTTTTAGCGCGTTTTTGGAATAAAATTTTTCAAAAATTCGAAAGACTGCAAAATTGAAAAAACTAGTCTTTTTCTAGTCATTTTTCTATGAAAATTCTTTTACAAATTGCTTATTTTAGTATGACTTTCAAATACACAGCAAATTGTTCAGGTCCTTTTATCACACCACGCCGAAAAAAAAAGACAATAATCTGAAAAACTTTGTCGTATTCTTTTTAGACTATGGTCGGAACATTCTGTGCTACTTGCACAGTAATCGGCTGCTATCCTTGTTATATTTTGCACGAGCTTTAAAAATCAATTTTTTAGCTTGGAAAACGAGAAATCAATTTTCTACCTTGTTTATATTATCTAGAAACTTACGGAAACGGTAGTTTTTTGTAAAGATCAACTTTTCCTCACATTTAGTAATCATCAAAGTCTACGGAGATCATTCGCACACTTCTTATGTTCCAACTGAATACCTGTGGTGAGAATGATGTGACGTAGGTTGTCCGCCACCGCCACTCATCGAATGTGAATTGTTGGATTGGGGAGAAGTAAAGCTATTTAACAAGGAGCACTTGGAGAGTTGGTCTACAGCTGTCGCATTAGTCTGTTGGGATGACCCCCCACCTCCGCCCCCGCCCATGTGCGACTGTGGGTGGGTTCCCCCGTTCACTTGACTCATGAGGAGCTGTTGCTGGACAGGACATGAGCTGAGACCTCCGACATGTGAGCTGAGATCCATGTTGGACAAAGATCCACTGCCGGGAACTGTCAAGTCTAGTATGTCCTGTAACAACAAATGCACTTTGTGCTAATTTGGTTCCAGAGCTACTATCACATTAGCAGTCAAATGTTTCTGCTACGCCTTTTCAATATTTGGCAAGACTATATCAGCATTCAGCTCCTTTTCATGGATTTACCATCATGGATTTATCCTAATTTTATAGAAAACTTGAATCAATTTAAACAAAAATAGAGCGTCAACCACTACAATGCAATGCTCAAGTGATCAAGTTAGGAAGCTGGTAAGCGAATAACTCACTTGCTGGTAGCCGACAGATGATAAAGCGTTGTAACCATTGCTCGCATGTGCGTGGATGGGACTCTTGTTCACGTTTGGACAGCCGTACGAGGGCATCGGCGGTTCCTGTTTGATGTATGCAGCAGCCGGGAATATATCATTGATACCTCCGAAGAAACCGTCTTGGAAATTGAACACATCTGCCGCAGGAGAAGTTTGACACTGGATCATTCCAGCGGCCGTTCTGGAAGACAGCGCTGCTGCATCAGCGGATGAGAACTGTTGAGAATAGCATGCGAAGGGTTCCTCGAATTTAGGGAAGGCGTTGAACCAGTTTGAGGCGACTGCCACTGCGGCGGGGTTCAGGGCAGGGGGAGGGGAGGAGGAGGAGCCTATTTTGGAACAGTGGGCGGCCAATAAAGCTAACGGGCTACTCTTAGCCATACCATCTACAAACCTGAAAAAGATAACAACTGCTCAAAAATCAAAATACCGATCAGAATCAGTACGAATAACATCAAAATAGGCGGAGATTTAGCAAAAGATCCATTACTTCGCACTCTTTGCTCAAAAATCAGTAATCAATCAATGCCAAAAATTGCTAATTACCATAAATGAACATTAGAAAAAAATTAGAGCTCATAAACAAAATCATGTCACCTGAAAAAGTAAGAAAAATTCAATTTAATGATTAAATGATCATAATTAGTCATAAAAATTGCAAAACAATGATTATAAATTTTTTCTGCAATAACTTGTGTTTTTTGCACAAGAACAATAAACATTAAGAAAAACCGGAAACAACTATTTCGTGAGTTTTGCTAATACTTAATAACCGGTTCATAACAACTGAATACCAAATGAACGGCCTATACTGTCTTAAATACACATCAGGATCAATTTGCTTCTAAATAAGTTTTTTTTAAAAAAAAGACATGATTAACAAAAAAAGGGCGTTACTTTGATTGTGTTAGACTGTTGCGACAGTTTCACAATGATGTGATGATGATGAATTTGACACTTCCTGACAATATGGAGGCAGGGGAAGTCATATGGTTGAAGTGATCAAAGTCAGAAAGGAAAGAAACAATTCTAATTAGATATCATATCATCACTTCAGCTCAGGAGCAATATCACGAAAAAACAAGATAATTAAAAAAACAGTGGCCGATTCCAGTTCAAGAAGCTCCAAATGTTCGAGCACAGTATTATTGCAAAAGAAAAACAAAAAAATTCATTTTTTTATTTTATTGAAGTTTTCATGGTTTCCAAGGGAGATTGAAACAAAGCTACAAATTACCCCAACTTCAATTTAAACAAAGATAGCCGGTTATTGTGCAAAAAGCACAGAATGCACCGACCATAGTCTTAAAATATATATATTTTTTCAAACTTATGTCTTTTTGTGTGGTGTGAAAAAAAAGATCTGAAAAGAAAACATAGTAATCAGGCGTATTCGACAATCATAGTCAAATAGGCCGATTGAAAAATAGTTTTGTAGAAAAAACAGTTTTGTAGAATTTTTTCTAATATTTTGAAAATTTTGATTCCCAAAATGGCGCTAAAGAACTCCAAAAACTAACTTTTCTCGACTGAAACTAAGTTTTTTACGGCTTAAATAATATATTGTAAGCCTGTGCATGCAGACTTTATAAGCTCGAAAGCAGAGCAAAAATCAAAAAATTTCAAATCGGTTTTTCTCGACACTGAGAAAAAAATTTTAAATGCCGTTCACATCACGACTAAAAGGGCTTTAATATGATATATTACTCAACCCATTCCGATGAGTATTTGTGATACCTGAATTTGCTACGAAAAAAAAACAAAACAAATCCGAATACAAAGTTCTTCCGCTTTTTTTTTCAAATGGTCGGAACAACAGAAATAACCAATTTTCTTGAGGTTCCTGAAGGCGCCGGTAAACCCCTACCTACTTAGAGAATTTACAGGCATTTTTATTGATGTAGTCGAACAACGAGAACATAACTTTCTGACGATACGTTCATCGCGTTACAAATTTCTCGATAAACAATTCATTCTACGACAAGGAAATAACGATTAAAAGTTCTATATATAATTCCATCAAATTTTCTTTAAGTTGCCAGCAATCGAAACATAACAGTACACTCTAAGTCTAGGCCTTACTCGGGACAGTAATTCAAACATCTATGCTTATCAGGTTTGCTGAAAGACTAAAACGCAAAACCATCGAAAAAAAATCAGGTAATTAAAAAACATTGGATGATTGCATTGCGAGTAGCACCGAATAAATTTCAATAAAAAATAACCATTTTTATAAGTATTCATTTATCTGCAGAAATTAACAGAAAATTTGCTCTCTCAATTGTAAATAACAGGTTTTCACAGCAAAAACGGGCAAAACAAATTGGAATTGCAATAACTTTTCAACATCTCTCAAAAATCCATTTTATTGAAGGATCACTAAATTAGTGAGATCAAAACAAAATAGCAGGCATGTGTGAAGCAATAACAAGCCAGTTAGTAGTAACAAGTAGTAAATTAAAATGAAGGGTTAAAAATAAAATTAACGAATGGAATTTGAAGTCCATGGAAACATAGCATCATGAAGCTGAAAACCTTAAGGAAATTATGGGAAAAAACAGCGGAAAGTTGGGATCATCTTTCTAAAAGCTCTTTACAGCGCATTTCAGAATTAATTTTCCATTTTTATTGTGTTCCTGCTTTATTATGCAATTTCATCTTCTTCTCATTTTTTTACTCAATGGGGAATTGAGTTAAATTAGATCTTGACAAAAAGCGAGAATTTTCTGCGTCGACTCAATTTTAGGCTCATAGTTACAACTGGGCAATGGATCAATTAAATTGTCATGTTTCCATAGCGCATTCCAGGGTAGTTAAAATTCCTTATATTACAAATTCAGGGCTCAATTTTTGACAGAAAATGGGAAAATAAGCGGAAAAACAACATTTTCTTATTTATAAATGATGAATTTAAGACTAACAGGAACAAAAATAAATTAAAAATATTTAGAAAAACTAACTTACAAATGTGCCTTCAAATTGATTTCAGTAATCGTGAGAAAAATCCGTTCTGTTTGGCCTGAAATATTAAAATATGCATGGAGCTTTTACTTAACACCATTGGATTAATATTTGCCGAACACTGGATCAAAAATTGATCCGAAGTTATTGCAAGAAGTGATTGCGGATTAATAACTAATAGATACTTTCTTTACTTCTTAGATAATCCAATACAAATTTCCTGCCCATGATAAGCTGGGGTTTTTCAATAAATAAGGCGGATCACCAAAAAATATTTCTGACACTTTCCGCTGAAAAAAAATGGACTTCACAACTCGCCGAAAGATATTGCACGCGAAATTGATAAAACAAAATTATTGACTATTTTGGAATCCTGAACTAGTATAACGATTCTATGCTGCTACATAGGAACCGTTTCAGTAGAAAAAAAATTGGCCAAAAAGCGTTTAGCTTTTTGATATTAATTGAAAGAATCAAAATTTAACGAAAATTTGTGCATCTTAAAGTATAGAAATATGGATTCAGGCTGAATAAAATATGAGTATGTGAGGATACACTCTTTTGATCAATATTTAATTGCTAATTTAATTCAGCACAGTTCGTGCGAAATGAACACAAAATGAATATTTCATCAAATATCTCGAATAACTCCAAAACTGTCTACAGAATTCGGATGTTCAAGTCATCGGTCAATTTGCGCAGTTTAAAATTACAACAACTACAGTGACTAAATTTCAGTCGACGCGGCAATAAAAATAAACAAAAAAGCAGAATGGCGATATCTTATTTAATGTTCAATAAAAGACAAAACTAAAATGTCGACTTTTCTAACATTCGAAAAACTTCGAGGAGCTTACAAGCTCAGCCTATCTGAAACAAGTATCTTACTTGTAGAGGAAGGCTGAAGAATACAGATATCAGCGATGATTGAAAAAGTCATAAAAATAATTTCCATAGATAGTAGTAACAATGAAATTAAATTCCACCGCAACAATAAAAACTGGGACACACAGGCATAAAATTAAGACATTGGTGTTCAGTCACCGTTTTAAAAAATAGCAGGCGGGGAATAGAGACAAGGCGAGCCCAGCTATCGAATGGGATTGAAAGGCGGCAACTGCATTGGAGGAGGGTTGCGTATAGGGGTAAAAACTAAAGAGAAAGGCAAATAGCTCTCACTGCAGGGAGAAGGGAGCGGGAATCTATGGCATGATATCAGCAGGCAGGGATGCAAATTGAATGAAAATCGATAGAGGGGAGGTGAATGTGATATTTCAAATGCAAGCATACAACTTAAAATCAAAGCCCACAATCAACGATGCAAGATCAAAGCCATTATCCAAATGCCACAAAGAGACACCAAAATAGGCACGTTTTCAGGGAATTTCCAACCATTCAAGATTCTTGCGCGAAAAGTATATCTCGAGCCTGCTTTTACCGAATGCTTTTCAATTTTTCTTTTCTGAAAAGCATATGCTTTAAAAAACGGGAGTCTTTCAAAAAAAAAAAACATTCTTGCGTCTACCAAATTCTCTCAAGTGCTTGCGTTTTTGTTGCGACAACTCTCGGCAAAATAATCTTTACTCCACCTTTGAACTTTTGGCTCTTTTCCACTTTCCCCCTACATTTCAAAATATCCATTTCTATCGTTGTTTTACGTGTTATTATGCTTAAATGCGTGTTGTTTTGATTTAAAGCAAGAAGAACAAATTTGTTCAAAATAATGAATTTATTCACCATGCAAATTTTTGTTACGTAAGAACAAAGGTGAAATAGTTTTTCAAAGCTTAAATTCAAATGTGGAGGGAATGTGGACAAGAGCCGAATTTTTCGATAGTAAAACAGGTACAATAATAAACGCGTATGGTGTCATAAGAGGTATCAAAACATTTATGCTGTTAGTCGTGATTCGATCCAAGGCTTCACAATTAGTACTTGCAACTAACTATTCTAACATTGCCGTGCTATTCCCATCATTGATCTAAAGCATACAGCAAAAAAAAACAATTGTACGATATGGCAACTAAGCCGTCAAAATGTAAGCTGGCAAATAGAAGGACGATTTTTTTGAAACGGAATACTTCCCGTTTAAAAAAACAGGTCCGGTCAATATCGAACCCAGGACCATTGCCGTTCCAGGCCAAGTGAGCTCGTGACGCAAAAAAAAGAATTCAATGTGAACAGCACCTAAATTTACCGTTTCTAATTTTGACCATACTGTCAACCAAATTATTCACGGCAAAAAAATCTAGCGCCCGATTGCAATACCCTTTCTTATTGCAGGGGTAAAACATGGCCAACTGATAATTGGAAAAATGTAATGAACGAAGAAAACAAAAAAAAAACTACTTGTTTTTAAGAAAATCTTCAACTTTTGAATTTCGAAGAAAAAAAATGGCCTTTAAGCTCTTTGAATTCGCAGAACAATT